ACGACTCCTTCCGCCTCCAGACTTCCTCAGCTTAATTTCCTATGAGTTTGTCCTTCCCCTGCCTCTTGAATCATCCATGATCCTCCCACTGATCTGCATTCCACCTTCTGCTGTTACGGAACCTGTTTCTATCTGTGTCGTGTGCTGGCCTCCATCACCCCTCTCCCAGCTAATTCCCGGGGCTCCCCGTTCTTGTCAGCCCTACTCCGCACCCTCTCAGTGAGCCCGTGTGGGCACTCCGCACGGAACTGAACAAGTCAGTCGTAAGTGGGATTCACGTTGTCTGTAGGGAAAAGGGAAGTGACGCATGTTCTTCAGACTTGCAGGGGCAGTGGGGTAGATGGTCCTTGCGGTCTGGCCGTTAGTCCACGGACGGACCCCTCCCACAGCTTCCTCAAACCCCACTAGGGAACTGTGTGCGTTCGAGGCAGTCACTTGGCAGTGCCGCGCTGAACAGATGCCTCATAGACTAGAGAGAAGTGAGGTTCTAGAAAGGGCGGAGCTCGCTATTCATCCTCTCAATAAATCAGCTCTCTGATTAGCCCTGGGTTGGCAGTCTGCACCTTGAACACTGGGGAGAAGTATCTTACTCCAGGCAGCGGTATCTTATCTCTGATAAGATTGGGTCACTGAACATTGCTGTAGAAAAGGGACAAGACTTGTAGAGGGGCAAGGATGAGAAGATTGTGCAGGGTGGGCGTGGGGGTTCTGCTGGAAAGAAAGGCTTTAGGCCAGAGAACTGCTGGTAAAGCCAGGCTCTGGGTATGGGTGGGAGCTTGCTCGCCCTGGATTCGTGCTGTGGATTGACCTCGTCATAACCAGGTGCCAGGAGCTTGGCTGTAAACACTCAAGCTGCTCATCACCAGAGCTCACTCACCAGGAGGCAAAAGTCACCCATAACCTGTGATAGGTAATGATACCTGCCTCAGACTCAATGCCATCTCCTTGCTTAGCTCCCTTAGGGGGTTTATTCTTGGTCATCCAAACACCTCTCCCCTCCTCTCCACCCCCATGCTTCCCTAATGAAGCCAAACGTTTCCCAGTTCAGAAATAACTGTCATTTTCACCGATACCACGTCCAGGTTAGTGGTGGCAGAGTTGATGGTGGTCACTGAGACCAAGTCTGCTACACACCTTTTTTCCCCTAAATTGATACCAATATGAAGACACACACACAAAAATTAACATGTAGCCCAGATGTCTTATCAATAACAGTTTCCACATAAAAATATAAAAGGCATTCTTATGGTATACATTTAAAAATAAAATGCCTTGTGTTTGTCAGGTGACATCCAGTAACCTCTGCCTGGCATTCTAGGTGACATATTTGGGCCAGGGGTGACAAGTTCCCAAACTCTGCCACCCACAGAGCAGTAAGAACAATGACCACAGACCCTAGCACGTCCACTTTCCGGCTCCGTGAATATACATGGAGAGTGAGTAAATATAAGCGGCATCTGTGCAGAGTTCAGAAGCAGTGACGAGTGCTGATGGCTGTGTGTGATGGCCCCAAACGGCACCTGTAAAGGCTAGGGCTGGGCCTTAGGTGGTGACGAGGGCGGGGGTGTGGGGGGGCAGTTGGAACTAAAGCAGAGGCAGGCAGGAAAAGTACAAGGAATAAGTTTAGGTGATACTGAACCTGCCCCACTGGAGGGACCTGTCATATAGCAGAGAGCAGGGGAAATACTAGAAAGATGGCATCAAATGGGAGGAAATCACCAGAAAGACTGCTGCAGGCCTCGGTGGGAGGCAGGAGAAGCGGGACTTTGTCCATAGTCAGAGGGGCCACTGGAGATGGGAAGTAACATGATGAAAGCCACATGCTGAGACTTTTAGAAGGAATGTGCTGAAAATGTAGCACTTCAGCATGAAACGGAATATGAGGGAGAACTGGGAATAGGGTGACTGGCCCTTGGGTCTTGTAAATTACCTTTGATTGTCAGATGAAATACATTTCAAGCCACAGCTACTTTTCTCTCGGATACAAATGTCCCATGATGAATTAAATCCAAAGGAAAATAGAATGATTTCTGTTGAAAGGATGTAAGATTTAGAAAGTAAGATGGCACCATAAACCCTGTGATGTGTAACCTCAGAACCCCAAAGCATATATAATTTTTCCCATAAAATACGCTGCTGTCCAGCTTCCTTCGAGCACCCACATCTGTAGCCACAAGTTGAAAGTAACACGTGGAGACGCATCTGTCTGCAGAGCTGTGAGCAGGGCTCACCCACCACGGCTGCCCTCCCACACCTGCTGGGCGAGGACGAATTTGTGCCTCCACCGTGTACGGCTCAGTTCTCATCCAGGACGGGGTCCCTCTGAAGTCAGGTTTTGTTTTAGTTTTAACTACTTTGTCTCTGAAATGGGTTTCAGATAAGCCTAGTTCTTGAAGGCATCTGATTACACCCAAACTACCTTCTCAGCCCACTCTGGTATTCTTGCCCGGAGAATCCCATGGACAGAGGGGCCTGGCAAGCTGTAGTCCACAGGGTCACAAAGAGTCAGACACGACTGAAGTGACTTAACAACACTGCCTTCTCATCACAAGGGAAGAGCTCTTTTTTCTGGCCTCACGTTAGTATCTCCTCACTGATAGATCCCAAGAGTGAGCAGCTCTATCATTCTTTCACACACAAACACACACACACACACACACACACACACACACCTTTGTTCTTGAATTCCTTTCAAGAGTCATGTGGCCATCTCAGGAGCTTTCCATATTTCAAGTGCTGTTTGGAGTTTAGCTGGAAAGGCTCTCAGTCAGCCAAGCTTACCTCACTAGGCCCTGTCACCTACAAACACCTCTTTTTATTAATAGTTACTCTTTCCACCCCCAACCTGTGGGGAAGCTCTTAGGACTGACTGCCCAGTTAGGCAAGGAGGAGGCAGAAGCAGCTGTCAGGGACCTTGAGTGCCTGGGGTTATGAGAGAAGAGAGGGCTTCCCAGAGGTCAAATTCAACTACACCTGGCTGCTTTTCTGTGTTCCAAGACCTAGATCAGCCAGTGATCCTATGGCAGAAACCAACACAATATTGTAAAGTCATATCCTTCCATTAAAAATAAATACATTTTTAAAATGGGATTGTAATTGACATCTTAGCATATCATCATTGACATCTAGGTCAGTGATCCCTAATTAAGTGTATTTAACGACTAATTCCAAAATTTAGAAATTTCTAAATCAGATTCAGCCTTAACCCTCATACTTCTCTCTAATCCCCTATTGAAAAGTGACTATTTTTAAAATAAAAAAATTGACAGACTCATCCTCTCATGTTTTCCATGATTCTTGTCACTCTCGCATAAACAGAACCAGGCACATCTATAGAAGTTACACCCATCCACCCTAGACTCTAAAGACATTCCTTAAGAAAGAAAAGAAACACAGTTGGCTACTTTACAGTTTGCTAGCAAAAGAGAAACACTGTTTTACTTATTTTGTAATTAGTCCATGCTTCCAAAAGTCGGGGAGGGGAGCAGCCAGCCAGAGCTTTTCAGTGTCCTGGTTGCTTCTCAGCTTCTGCAGAAGACCCCAAGGTGGGGCAAGAGCCCCCCGGGCCAGCTTACAGGCCTCTCTCTTCCCTATCCAAACCTCATTTCCTCCACCACCACCTTCTTAAGAAAAGCTCAAAAGGGGAAAGCCTGCAGCTGGTGAAGAACATCCGCTGCTCTGAATATTTTGTTTCAGCCTAAAGAGCTGCTGAGATGAAAACTTGTTATCTGGTGGGTCCTCTGTGTGGGAGCAGACCCAGGGAGAAATGCCAAAGGATGAGACCTAATGGCTTCCATTTCGCTTAGAGCTGAGATTTGCCGGGTCACCCGGGGTCACATAACTGTTCTTAATGGCTGGTTTTCTACTGCAAGTGAATCAGGCCTTGGAAGCCAGTTCGAGGCCGGGTGTGGCGTAGGTGGTAGACAGTGTGATGTAACGGGAGCACATCTCACTTAGTCTTCAGCAAACTCCAAACCAAAAGGTAATAGGAGCTGTTATTTCATTGTCTTCACTACCCCAGGGCCCCTGAGATGGAGGAATTGAGGCAAGGGTGGGGGGAAAAAAGGTGGAAACAACCTAAAAGCAGGCAAAGCCTTTTTCTTTCTTTCTTTCTTTCTTTCTTTTTTTTTTTTTTTAGTCAGAATTGGCTCAGTTTTTCCCTATGGAGTTAAGGCTAGAGTAGCTGAATCAGGTACAAACTGCCCCCTGCTGCCTGACACAGAGAAGTACATAAAATATCTGCTTCATTATAAAGAACCATGTTCTGAATGCCGACTGTGAATCGCAAACAAGCCGGGTGAAGGCAGGCTGCTGCTGGCACGGGTCACCTGCCTCCTCTCTGGTGGGAAGATGAAGGAGGGTGAGAGAGGCAGAGTCAGCTCTTACACACAGTACTATTTTGGGGATTTGGAGAGCTGCCTCATTCCACCATCTGCCGCCTTGTTTCTCAGAATATGTATGGTCTGTGGTCCAGCCCGGCTTGCATCACCCGGGAGCTTGTTAGAAAAATGCAGAGCCTCAGGCCCCACCCTTGGTTACTGAGTCAGAATCCGCAAGAAACAGGATCCCCAGGGGATTGAGGTGCACATTTACCCGCGAGAAGCCGTGGAGGAGCTTTTCGATTAGACAAGGTCCGCTGTGCCCCTAAGGTTTGGATCAAGTCGAATTCAGCTTGAACAGTGAAGAAACACCACTCCCCGGGAGAATGGCATCCTCTAGTAAGCTTGTGATCTCTTTACACCCTTACTTTCTTCCTGCTCCTCTTTTCTGCATCCCCACGGATCACTGGCGCCCTCCCTGGGCTGTCCTTCCCCGCTCCTTGCTACGTTTCAGCAGCATTTGCCAAACTGGTTTCTTGCAAAATCGCTCCACGTCTGGCAGCCCCCTGTCGGCTCAGGTCTCCCCTCCGCTCCATCCATCGCAGCTGGTGTCGCGTCAGAGCAGCCTCAGGCCCCTCCGGGTCGCGTGTCGCTAACCCCGCGTGTTCTCTTCTGCGCCAGGTCCGGGAAGAGTGCCGGCTCCTGAACGCGCCGCCGGTCCCGCCCCGCAGCGCAAAGCCTCAGTCCACCAGCCCCTCGGTCCCTCCTCGCACAGCCAAGCCGGCGCGGCCGCAGACTCGCTCGCCCAGCCCCACCTTGTCCTACTATTCTTCAGGGCTGCACGACATGTAAGTCCTATGCCAGCGCCCGCTTCCCCCACGGGCCCCTCAGCAGCCAAGGCCCCCGGTCCTTGCAGACAGTGTCAGGGAGCCGGCCCCTCTCCGCAGTGATAGGAAAGGCAGTTTTCCTCTTTTTATTTTTACTGGACGAGCATAGACCCTGTTGGTTCTGAGCTAGGATGGAGGAGCCAGTGGCATAAGCAGACTGCAGAGTCTGTGCGGGGTTCAGAGATAAGCCTAGCCAATGCTGCTCCCCGCTCTGACTTCAGCCCAGCAGACAGCAACTGCCAGGGAGACGCGGAATCACAGGGGTGCTGCCTCCACTGAATTTCCACCCAGAGCTGGGGTCCCTTCCTGACCATCACCGTCAGACCGTCTTCCATTTCCATCCTCCCGGTGCCCTGAGCGAATGCTTCTGCAGTGTGGCTCATTCCATGGTTGGCACAGGCTGAGAACTTTTTTTTTTTTTAAGAAATCTTTCATTATATTACATTATATCTATCTCGGTAACTTTCAACTGTTTCTTGTGTCTAGAGAAACAGATTTGGGTCTACCCGCTTCTCTTGGTCAGGCTGTGAAACCGTGAGGTCAGCCGTGAATGTACCTCTTCTCTTCTCCCAAAGAGGCGGACTCAGTTCCACCCACTGCCCACCCCACCCCGGTCACCCACCTCTGAGCACACTCGGGTTTTATGGTTGTTCTGAAGATAGCGCCCCAGAGCTGCAGGGATCACATGTGCTCCTGACAGGTTACAGCGGCTCTCCTTGGCAGGTGTTTTTCGTTCTCTGGACATTTAACTCTTTATGCTGGTGTTAACTGCGCAGAAACCAAGGCAAGCGTAAGCACTGTATTTGAAACCTTTCTTTCAGCCTCACACTCCTGGATGGATAGGTCATCCGTGGTGGTGATGTAGTCCTGTCACTTGTGCACGAGACACCCACTAACTCTTCCCTCACGCCCCGCCCTTGCCCACCGCAGACATCACTGATTAATCCGACCCTATTGGTGATAAGCCCAAACAGGGCTAAAGATTTTTCTCATCACAAAGATCCAGGCACTCACTAACAAGTGATTTTCTTGTACTTAAAAATCTATTTGCCATCTCTGCTGTAGCTTATTCAATCAGTATCTTCATATCCATAGCTACTGATGTATTTTAGTAATTTAAAGATTCTTTAAATTAAAAAAAAAAAGTGAGGTTAAGTAGATACTTTATTGAATTCATGATAAGAAATATTTGCTTCCTAACAACGTTTTTCTACTCAGAAGTGACATCGATGGGCTAAAGCTAGGCTGGATGTTTCGCTGTCACTTTCTCACTCACCCCTCTCTCTCTGTGTTTGGCTTTTAAGCAGCGTCACTAAAAGTGAGACGAGTCCCTCTGAGAGCGCTCCCGTGTCTTGCTACCCATGTAACCGAGTGAAGGCGGAGTCCGTGGACCCCAAGTCCCCGTGCGGCAGCCCGACTTCTGAAGCTCTGTCCTCCAGGCTCTCGTGGCCAAACCATTACTCGGGAGCGTCGGAGACCCACACCAGGAGCGACTTCCTGCTGGATCCGAGCCGCAGCTACAGTTACCCCCGGCAGAAGACGCCGGGCACGCCCAAGAGAAACTGCCCGGCCGCCTTCGAGCTGGACTGCCGCGAGCTGGCCGCCAGCCCGCCCGGGCCGGGCCCCGCGGAGCCCGCGGGCTGTCCCAAGTCGGCCAGCTACTGCCTGGAGCGCTCGGGCGACAGGAGCCTGGTGGGCGGGCCGGCCAAGCAGAGCAGCTCCTGCCCAGCCTTGCCCCCCAGGGCCCCGAGGCCGCTGGAAGAGAAAGCGGCCCCTGACACCCCGCCTCTGCCCCTGCAAATCGACGGTGCTGAGGAAGCCCCCAAGTCCGGGTCGCCAGACCTGTCCGAGGACGCCTACTTCGTGCAGAAAGGCGCGCAGGACCTCCTCTCCGCGCCCTACCCCTTCTCGTCGCCAATCCACCTGCAGCTGGCCCCCCGCTCCTGCGGCGACGGGTCCCCGTGGCAGCCGCCCGCCGACCTGTCAGGACTCTCGGTCGAAGAGGTGTCCAAGTCCCTGAGGTTCATCGGGCTGTCAGAGGACGTCATCGTGTTCTTCGTGACCGAGAAGATCGACGGCAATCTGCTCGTTCAGCTCACGGAGGAAATCCTCTCAGAGGATTTCAAACTGAGCAAACTGCAGGTGAAGAAAATCCTGCAGTTCATTAACGGCTGGAGACCCAAAATATAGCCAAATAAGCCCAGCTGGCATGGAGCAAAACTGATAACCGTGTTGTGCTAGATGGGACTGGCTGGGACACGGTTTCATGGATTTCTTTCTTTCTTTCTTTCTTTTTTTTTTTTTTGCACTAAAAACCTTCGCTGTAAATAGGGATAAGAGAAAACTCTTACTATGCAGATTACGATTTTTGAATGGTGAACAGGCTATTTTGTACATCAATAAAAATGCTGTACAGAACACTTAGAGGTGTGCCTTGTACGTCACTCAACACTCAACAGCTGCTAAAAGACAAAAGGCATGTTCAGAGAAATACTTCTTACCCAAGTAGGTTTATGCAAGAAGGTCTGATATTTATTTACAAAATAGCCAAAGCTGAGAAACATAAGAAGTCTTTTAAAACACACACACACACAGACACACACACACACTTTTGAACAATCCCCTCCTCTAGGAGAATCAACTTCAGACAGTTAACTCTAGTCTGTGCTCTGTTGTTTGGACTGATCAGTGCTAATCGTTTTCCTCTTGTGCCTGAAAATGTTAGTGATGTGAAATGACACTGCAATGTTATGTGCTTGATGGGGATCTTTTTATCAAAAGGCGTTTTATCAAGTCTTGTGCTGGTAGAGGGTCTAAGACGTCCTTAGAAATAATAAATCATGACCACAACAATTTACCTGTAGCTTCTAATTTTATTGAGCAGAAAAAAGATACCCAGACTATATATGCGTGTGTATATTTATCTAGACATGATACAAATGTATGTTTTCAACATCCATATGAGTCTGATCTTTTAGATAACATCTGTTCACTTTAAGATATCCACTGAAATTTTGGGGCCATTAATTAAGTCAGCTCTTGGGTAGAGTAGACAGAATAATGTCAAAGATTCTCAGAACCCTGTCCCTCAAAACTCGGTCTTACCAGGCTCCAGCATGGAAAACTTGGAACAAACCAGTAGAGTCTGTATTGAAGAGTTAAGTTGAATTTTAAACCTGTTATAGGCTGGGTTTTGCATAGAATACTCCCATGCCCATTCATGTCTGGGGAACTGATCATTTCTGTTGAGTGATAATTCTCGGGTTTGAGGGTCTTCTTCTCCTGGTATCTGGTGATGAGGGGTCTGGAGAGCAGTTTGCAGAGCCATGTCTCATGTTCGACATGCTTTGTGCTTTAGGAGAGCTCAGAAGTCAGACACACCACCCTCTACTTTGATCTGTGCTATGTCTGTTGCATCATTTTTTAGAGCATCAGTAAGAGTTCTTGTGTAGTTCTGAAACCTCTTCTTTCCTCTCGTCCAAAGAAAATACATGATTTACCATACTTTCATTCCAGCAGTTCTAGAACCCAGTCTGACAGTTTTTGCCAAACATGATTAACTATTCCAAAATACGATGGCATCAATATCGTTCTTGACTTTTTGAAGGAATATAAATCTTAGAAACATTTTCTTTCTCTGAACAGGTTATCATCCTCAACCCTGCCTTCCTGAAGTCTGTCCCCACATTCCAGATGGACAGACAGCCACCCAGGTGTCAGCGTGACAAGCAGGATTGGCTTGTATGTTATTATCTGCTCTTCCTGCTCATCAAAATGAGTCCACAAGAGGAAAGACAAAACCCACCAGTTCTAATTTTGCAGACCTTTTCAATATGGCTTCATTTCTTGACATGAAAGATATTTTTAATCCATCTCATTGTTTAGAATTGAGGTGAATTAGAACTGAGGTGAATTGATACATTGTCTCATTTTCCATCTTAAATCTTTTTTTTTTAATAAAGCCTTTTTCTCTTCACATGTCTCTCAAAATGCAAATACTCTAGGTTAAAAGTACCCCATAAAAAGAATACCCTGTAAAACTTGTCAGACTGGCTCACCTCTTCATAAGTTAACTGGCAAGTCTGTGTACAAGCTTCCAGTACTGCACTGAGATGGCGTATGGCCGCTCTGACTTTTCCTGTTGGGAAACCATCCTTCAGTGCCAGGGGCAACCCCTCAAGTAAAGTTAACCTCTCAGAACCTTTCTTTAAAATAAAATCAGGAGGCTGTTGAATAGTTGCAAGTTTTCTCTGACAAAATCTTGCTTAACCCATTGGTGAATCCTTACGCCCAGACACCGTTCTCAATTCAGGAGGGAGGAATAGTTGGGTTTGAGTTTACTATGAAGGTTGCCCCACATGAACAACTGATTCTTTTTATCTTTTTTTTCCTTTGAAAAAAAAAAAAAGTTGTTTTTTTCGTCTTGACTTATGTACGTGGAGTTTATATTGATGGCAACATAGAGACTCCGTGAGGGCAGGGACTATATGGCCTTTTACTCACACACTCAAAATTCACTGAGCATCATTTGTGTGCTGGGCACCATGCTAGGATGACTTGACAGGTTGATATCAAGAACAGTTCCTGCCCTCTTGGAACTCATAATGTTTATATTTAAAACCACAGTTGTTGAGACTGAGTCTGTGTAAGAGAAACATGAAATCTTGCAAGCAGTTGGATATAGCGACAGTTAAGTGTGCTCTGTCTTTCAAAAAGCCACAGATGGCAAAAATGGCAGCCTCTATGAAAAGAGTATCAAAGAAACATGACAAGACCATCAAAGCTTGGAAAGCGTTGGAGACACAAAACATCTCTGAGTCCCACTGGCTAGTATTCTTTTCTACTGACTGGAATTTTGTTTTAATTGGTAATAAGTATCTTCTGGCATGTCTGAAGCCACATGGCACCCTGACTAGACAAGGCCTGCATAGCCACAGAGAATCATGACAAGAAATGCAGAACAGGGCTAGGAAGGAGACAGCCCTTCCCTTCTTGAGCTGTGATTTTACATTCAAAAGTGGTATAGAGAGACCCCCACACCCAGCATCGTTTCTAACCAACCAAGTCAGGACAGGACATCTCTAGAAAGTGCCTCACAGTCTATGCACTGACCCCAAGAAAAGACCTGGGAGAAAGTGTCCAAACAGAACTCTTATTTGGGGTCCTTAAATTCATGGCCAAAATCATCACGACCCCTATCAAAAAGGAAACTCAGCAATAAATCAAACCAAGCAGCGAAAATGTAAAATGTGGGTCCGACTCATATTGGGAGGGCAAACTCAAGCACTCACAGATCAGTTCCCTCTCAAGATCTCATAAACGCCTGCATGTTCTCTCTCTTTTAAGTTGAGCCGCTCAACTTTATGAACTGTGAAATTTACATTGAGACCCTTTCAACCCACATATGCTGTTCAAGTTTATGAAGTTGCAGTGAGCTGCCCATTCGACTAAATTGCAGTGTTCATTCTTGTCTCATGTAGAAATAAAACAATCTTATGGGGAAATATTATGACTGTCCATTCCAACTGTTTTCAGACACATGAGTAAACACCCTCTGGCGACATTCCAGAACCAACTGTACATTGTCCACACGACTCCTCAAGCAGTTCAGGGAGTGGGTGTGGATGAATAGAGGGCCCATCACCTAACCAACACTCCATGTCACACACAAGTCACTACTCCTCATGCCTAAAGAGTGTGAGGTTAACGTTTTGAATAACAAACTGGAAAACCAGACAGTTCTCCAAAGACCCTAATGAGCTGTTCAAAGACATTTCAACTTCAGGCTGCCACAAAAGTGAAATCTGTTGTTGGACACACAAGACTTTTAGAAATTTACCACCACTATACCAATTCCCACTATTTTTCTCGTAATGGCACCAGACTGCTGGGGCAAGAAAAATAAAATAGCCAGAGGGCAAATAATAGAAAGTAGGACCTTTACACAGTGGGGCTGTGATAGTGAGAAATTCTGATGGCTACTTCTTAGCCAGTCACGTCGTTTAGTCTTCAGAACTTGGTGTTTGAACATTTGTCTCCTTGTGAAAGCCAGAAACCAAGGGTAAACGTGATTTGTGTTGAAACTGTGTACAAATATCTTCTGTAATTTTGCTGCTCTTAATTTTTAGGCTGTGAGTTTTGTAATGAGCTTATCGGATTATGAATTCCTTTTGTCTGCAATCTCATGTTGTAAGGCTCAGATCATTTCTTAACTATAAACATCTCCCATTCTCATATGAAGTTCCCTTTAAAATATCATTTCAGCTCAGCCTAAAAATTCAACTCCATCAAAAATGTGGGCGTTTTCCTTGACTTAAATGGAAATGGTTTATTCTTTTCAAAGGATTTTGTAACCATCTTTACAGTTTCTTGGCTTGGAACCTGGGGTTAACTACCAGTTAACAGTTGCACTGTTTCCAGAGCATTATCTATGGGCCCGATGTGTACCTCAAAATAAACATGGTTATGTTGTGTCTAAAAAAAATTCATCGTTGATTTCAGTGGTTCTGAAATGTCTATAAATAAAAGAAATTTTAAAAGGTGCTCTTCTGGCATTGGTTCCTTAGTGAGTTGGACCCTAGTGCATGGCTTTCCAGACACACTCTTCCCCATCTTGAAGCAGAAGGGAACTCGTCTGAAGAGATTCTGAAGATTGCAAGTCCACTCCATATTGACAAGAGATTGAAGACTGGCTATCATATCATAAATTGAAGAACCCGGGAACCAGGTAACCCAATGGCGTGCAAAGAGAATCTAGTACCTGTGCGATCAGGAGATATGAGAAAAGACAAATACAGGTGAACTGGTGAGCCTTAAAAGAAAATAGGGAACTTCCCTGACAGTTCAGTGGTTAAGACACTGTGCTTCTACTCTGCAGGGGGCATGGCTTCAATCCCTAGGTCAGGGAACTAAGGAATCCCGCATGCCACATGACAGCAGCCCAAAAAATAAAAATAATAATTGGTGGGGGAGGGATAAATTAGTTTGGAATTAACAGATGCACACTACTACATATAAAATAAACAAGGACCAACTGTATAGCACAGGAAACTATATTCAATAATTTATAATAACAGAATCTGAAAAAGAATATAGATGGGGAAATAGATAACTAAATCACTTTGCTATACACCTGAAACTAATGCAACTTTGTAAGTCAACCATACTTCAGCTAAACAACTAAAATTGGG